CCCCCCCCCCCCCAACCCAAACAAACAAACAAAAAACAAAAAACAAAAAAGACATAGCACTCCCTAACTTCCCTCCCTTTCACTTCAAAGCCATCCAACTATATAAGGGGTAACAAGCCTTTACTTGTTAATATACCCCAAAAATGTATTCCCGCATCTAATACTTGAATGCTAATCTCTGTTTTTGTTGAACTTTCTTTTTTCAGGATAAGGCCAAGAAAACATGGTTTGAACGGCATGCTGATTCAGTTGGATTGGAGTTGGCTAGTGATGATAGTGAGGAGGAAAGGGTGAATTCCCATAAGCAAAAAAAAGCCACCGCTGCTCATTTAAAGAACTTGCAGCAGGTTTTCTTTTACTAGTAATTTTACAGAAGGCTCAGTTAAAGAACTTGCAGCAGGCCTTCTTTTATTCTAGTACAGTAATGATTATACAGTCACTTAAAGAACTTGCATAAGGAATAATGAGAGAATGTATTTAAATTCCAGTGTAAAGAATAAGTAGGATTTCACTTTCTATTATTAGGTTAGAGGGAATGAAAGTAAAGATAATCCAAGTTCAAGTGATTGGTGTACAATGGGAATTGGGTAGGGGATTTTTCGTCCCAAAATATTTACCGTACATCTCATCTTTCAGGTGCTGCCACATAGCACAGAAATGTGGTCCTACTTCATTTGTTGTGCTATGTGGGAGCATCTGGAGGGGGGTGGGGGGGGCATTTTTGGGACACGGGATCTGCTCTCATACAATGGACCTGAAAGATAATAAATACTCCTCCGTCTTGCAATGAAGTTTACACACCCCCTTTTCGTTCTTCTCAAAATAATTTTCACACTCCTTACATTTCCGTTTTAGAGGAGCATGTGGCTCTTAGCAACTCTCCATTTTAAACAAGTTTCACCCAAACTTTTCAAAATTTTTCTTAAACTCCGTGAAGTCAAAGTGTAAACTTCGTTGTGGTATGGAGGAAGTAGTCTGCACTGAAGTATTCCCCTCTTCAGTTGAAAGAGCAGCAATTCTGTGCAATTTAAAATATCCGGGAGCGGGCAGCAATTCACTTCTTCAAATTTAAGGTATTATAATTAGTACTTCAAAATGCTAGAATTTACCCCTTTTTAGCAAGGTTATTGGAACTTGGCAAAGCTTCAACCCATGAAGGTGAACTGTTCAAGGGTTATTGATTGGACTTTGGTCAGCCTGATATATATGTGTGTGTGTGTGCGCGCGTGTATATTGTCAATTAACTTTTTAGAAATTTAATGCATGTAATAATTGATACCTACTGATCTACTATATACTCCATATAATCATTGAACACACACATGTAGGTGTTTAAACCACCAAAATTAAATGGTATGGAGTAATTAGTAGTAGTAGTAGTAGTAGTAGTAGTAGTAGTAGTAGTAGTAGTACAAATACTTCAAAGTTTTTTCAGTGAAATTGTTTCATCTAAAATTTCTGTCCAATCATCTTCTTTCTGAATTCCTCAACCCATCTGTGTGCTCGAGGATTTATCTCAGAACAATAAGGGTTACGTTCACTTACAGCCATTTATCAATGGAACATAATAATCCTTTGTTTTAAATCAAATTTCAAAAGTGATATTAGTCTTGGTGGAATGACGGTTGGCACAAAACTATTCATTTATTGAGAATATTCACCTACTAACTGCAGGAGCTGAATTCTCGCCTTTCCCTTCCATTACAACCCAAGACATTTTCAAATCGCTTTTTGGCAGGGGTAAGTGTAATTATCCTTTGCGGAAAATCTTTTCATGTGATGAATTGTGTTCATACCTAAGTGTGTTAATACTTTCATGAAGTTTTCTTATGTATGATAGGAATCTATTACTCCCTCAAAGTGAAGTTTACACTTTCTTTTTTAGATGTCCCAAAATGAAAATTATACTCTCATTAAGAAAGAATATGTGGTTCGCAAATTGATTTTCTTCCATATAAATTTCAACCATACACATATTTTCAATAGTTTGCTTAAACTCTGTAAGTCAAACCATAAACTTCATTTTGGGACGGAGTATTATTCAAAGAAAGTTTCACAATAGTCATATCAAATATGCATTTATTTTTTAGGGAGTTAACACTTTGCTATGAATGGTTTTTTGTGTTTATAGTGTATGGGATCAGAAACTATTTTGTTCATGAAGTTCCAACAAACCCTATTATTTAGACATCTTCATTCCATTGTATTCTTGGTTTACCGCAATTTCTCTTTAGTTGTTTAGTATTTCAGCACTCCGCATTCTGTACTGATGGACAAAAAACATGCCTGAAGGTCTGATTGCCTGAATCATTGAGGCAAAATCCATTTTGTTTTGATGGCACGTACACCATACACCCTCATTTTTGCATATCTCCTCTACTTGGACTTTTCTAGTTCGACCATGCCATCTTAAAGTTTTCATGTTCATTGTAAAGCTCACAACTTTGAAGATTTCTTGGTGTACATTATAGTTATAATCCTCGTAGTGTTATCCTAAAGAAAAAACTTGCAATATATACAACCGATGAAATGTCATGGCAAGTTACAACTAAATATTATCCTAATGAGTAAATTTCCCACCAATCTCTTGTATCTATTGGAATTTTACAAGGGCTCTAACCTTTGGTGTAAGAGCTAACATTGGGATCCGTTGGAGTATATCCACGGGCTTGCATTTTAGCGATCTTGTTTCTTAAGAAAATATGTAAAGCATACTGCATACTTTTTCTGTGAGATGCAAATCCATTAGATTGTGCAACATATCTTCTCAAAAGAAACTTAATTGAAATTGGTTTAAGATCATAAGAAGAAGCACTTAAGCCAATACTTACCAAGACAGTTTTCCATTGAACCATTGATGCTGGAGGTTGTTCTAACATAGACTCGTTTCTTAAGAGGATAATGTAAAAATGAGTTCATGAATGGATGGGAAACTTTTAATAAATGTTTAATGGGTTAATAGATTGTTTCAAAGCTTGTTTTCTTAAGAGCATAATGTAAAAGCTTGTTTCATTTTCTAAGCTTGTTCAAATCTTCTGCAGTCTGGGGTTTCTCCTCTCTTGCAAAATCAATTAGAGGAACTAGCTAAGCAAAGACTTGGCCAAACAAGTAATAGTGTGAACAACAAAAGGAAAAGTTTGTTGGTTATGGGACAGGATCTTGTAGAACCACTCCAGGCACTTCAAAGTGCTGGGCCAGAGGTAATTTTTTCATTTATTTAGTCTAAGTATTGTAGAACCACTCCAGGCACTTCATGTTTAACATTAGTACATTACCAAATGTGATAATAAACCCGTGTGGGTTGAATGAAACCCATGTGGGTTTATTTCTACATTTGGTAATGTGGGTACCTAAAAGTGTGCCCACACGGTCTGTCTAGAAGAACATGGTATTTAGAGACATTAGAAATATGGAATATTTTTGTAAGATTATCTGGACAAGGTCAAATAATATTTTGGGAGTTGGTAAGTAGATTTTATTCCCCTCAAAAACACTCATCAGCAGTAATGATTTGGTAAAGAGGAAGTGCAGCATTTTTCCCTAAGTAATGGTGGTTTTGCAGTATTATTTTCTACTCTTCCATCCCATAATAATGTTTCAGTTTCAAATTACGGTGTTTGACCGAAGTTATTTTCACTTCAATTTATATAATGATTGGCATAGAACTATTAAATAAAACTCACACAGTATATATTTAAGAATTACTTTAAAAGTTCTACTAAACAAGTGACAAGACTATTGTATCTTATCGAATGATCTTTTTTTAATCAAATGGTCAATAAAATTAAGGAAAGTGAATATAGTTTGACTCTGTCAATAGTAAAGTGGAACATTATTATGGGACAGGGAGTAGTTGTTTAGGGTGAGTTTGAATAACTAGCAGCATATAGGCATCATATTTTATGTTTTGGTATCTGTAATTCCATTAACACTCCTTCAGGCAGATCATTTACTCTGTTTGAGTAGATTATAGAACTTCATTGCAGAGAAGAAGTCCTTTTCTGCAACTATGAACATATGTTTTGATGCCAGGTGCTTTTTCTTTTTGTTTCTTCTCTCAGGCACATCTGGATTTTAAGGACATTGCAGAAAAGAGGAAAAGTTGGGACAACATAAGGAGAAAGAGGAAAGAAGCGAAAAAACGTAAATTGTCGCCATCCACATTTGACTTCCTTGTCATATTTGTGTCGTTTGACTATGCCAAAAGCCAGTCCCTACATACATACATATATATAAAATATATGTGTGTGTGTGTACATCATTTTTATTTCTCACATTAATCACAGCATTCACACACGTACGCGCGCACACTAGAAGAGTTTAGTACCTAAAGTAATAAAAATTTCCATGGCTCAACAGGTCAGCGCGAGGAACGCCGAAAGCAGAAGAAAAGGGAAAAGGTCGCAAGGTGCGCGGCAAATGAGGCGAAGCTCTTGGAGTAAGACAATCACAATCTCCTTTCTTGTGTTTGAGTTTAACATTATATAGTTTCAGTCCAAAACTGCATTTCTTTTGGTGTCGTCTCAAAATTTTGTTATGTTTTAGTATTTATTTATTTAAAAGATTACTATATGATTCCTTTTACTATTTCTTTTTTTTTTTTGCAAACCAATTCCAAACATGCATCTTCTATTATAAAAAGTCTGTTTTGTAATAAATAAAACATTTTAAGTCAAATTAGAAATTACAGTATTAGAGTGAGTAAAAACTTTGGGCGCAGGTGAAAAAGATGTAATGCATAGAATGTATCACAAAGACAGAGGTCACGAGCTCACATTTTGTTTCCTCTATCACGTGAGTAATCTTTCTCTTGTTACGTAAAAAACAAAACCCCAAAAAAAAGTAAAGAAAAATACAGTAAGACTCAATATTCACACTGCATCATATGATTGTGGAAATTTTATTCACACTCAATTATTTATTCGTACTAAATAAAAATGTATGGAGTATGGTTAAATGTTTTTTGTACAGGAAGGAGAAATATACATGGAGTACTCCCTTTGTTTTTAAATAATTGTATATTACTCCTTCTGTCTTAATTTAAATCGTTCGTTTCAATTCATAATATTTGACTGAAGTTATGATCTACTATTAAAAATAAAAATTATAAACTACATTAAAAGATTTACAAAATTAGTGGTGACATGAGTATATTATTTTCTCAAATGACTACGAAAATAAGGAAAGAAAGTGAATGAAGCTTGACTATGTAAATAGTAAACTAACAATTTAATTTAAAACGGAGGGAGTGATTTTTTAGACACATTAAGAATCAAATTAATGTGGGCAAATGTTATTTTTGCATTAATTTGGTTTTAATGTATCTAGAAAGTCATAATAGATTGTTATTTAAGAATGAAGTAAGTACGTTGTAAACAGAACTTTTCTGAAACAGTGGTCTCTGGACTTAGAAGTTGTTCTCTTCAACTTATTACTTATTTTTATTACAACTGGATTAGTTTAGATCAGATCAAAAATGACTTTAAATATGATTACAAAGATCAGATATCAATATCAGAGCATATCAGATCTTAATAAAGTTAGATCAGATCTAATCATATCAAAAAAAGAGAACAAGCTCTTATATGGATTGGTATTAGTTTAGATTTCATATAAATATTGAGTTGTTTAATTGTGGTTTTAAGATCCTCGAAATGTATGTTAATACTTAATTTTTTATAAGACTCGATTTGTATAACTATTTTGTATACTTCCTTCGTCCCCTAGTTTTTGTCCATTTTTTACTTTTGAAACTATTCATCTAAGCACTTTGACTCATCAAATTCTCTTAATGTGTAAGCCTAAATATAGTCATGTGTGATCTTGTTTGATTTGTCTTAACATATAGATTATTAATATATAATTTCTATAATTTTTTAATATACAAATTACAAGATAAAATAGATTAAAGAAGTGCATTGGATGGTGTGTAAAAATGAAAGTGGACAAAAACAGGGGGACGGAGGGAGTATTAAGGTCCATTCATTGCCCGATACATATATATATGGCTTTCAAAATACTCCCTCCGTCCTGTTTTAAATCGTCCGTTTTGACTTTGGGCATATTTAAGGAAGAGAAAAAATAGAGTTGATTTTTCGAAATTGTCATTATTTTTTAGGGGAGTGACGATGAATGAGAAGATAAGGTGGAGAAGAATGTCTTATTTCAGGGATAGTTTAGGTATTTTGCTCTTAAAAGTTTATGATAACAAGAAACAAGCAACTTATTTTGAGACGGAGTAAAAAGACAAACAAGTATTTTAAAATGAGATAGAGGGAGTATGATATTTTAAATTCAAAATGAGGCTATTCTTATTAAATTTATATAGTAGAGAGTTTTGTTGTATAATGTATCTTTTCACATTTTATAGTCATTGCTCAAAAACAACAACTAAAAAATCATATGAAGAAAAATTATGTGGAATTGGAATTGAGGACATCAATTCAACTTCTAGTGTTTGGCAGCACAAAAATTATGTGGATTTGGAATTGATAGTGCAAAAAATGAATTGGAATTGGCAGAATTCAATTCTATGGAATTGAATCCCATGGAATTTCAATTGTAATTCAATTCCAATTTCGTCAATTCCGTATACCAAACGGACCCTTATAGAAATTTGGAATTCTAAAATCAAAAGAAATACTCCGTATGTCTTTAGATAGAAATAAAAAGGCATGAATCCCTTAAACCTTCATCATTTTTCACCATTCTTTTTCCAAAAGAGAGCTGTGAGTGTAGAGAGTAAAGTAGTGTTGTCAGAGAGCTTCCCGTCACCGAAGCTAGCCACAATCCTCGCCGGAAGTTTTTCAGAAAATTTCCAAAACCTTCATTAAGCTTTGAGGTAAGCCCGCAGATATATCTAGTGACTAGAATGTTTTTACAGATCGTTCCTACATTCATAACGGTTGTTTTGTTGAGTTTTGTGTTTGACACGTGTAAAGAACCAAGAATCATAAACCTTGAAATTGATGTTAAAATTACGAACTAATGATACCAAAATGATTTATGAATCTTGGAGAACATTTCTATATAGTTTAATTGAAATTTGGTGATTAAAAATGACATTTTTAAAAATTGGCCCGAAGTTGAAGATGACAATATTCAAAACTACGTGCAGAACGGTAGCCAGATACCGTCCAGACGGTAGCTTGGTACCGCCGGCACGGTAGGCCGTATCGTCAAGACAGTAGGCTAGCTACCGGCTCCGTCGTGGAAAAATCCTCCTCTGGCGGTGTCTTGCTGCCAAACGGTACCCCGTACCATTTGGGCAATACCGAGGTATCGTACGTCGGTACCGAAGTACCGTCTAACACAAGAAGTTTTCAGAAACTTGATTTTTGAACCATTAAATCCTATTTTTGATATCAATCAATTGTGATAAATGTAAATATGATTTATGGAAATAAAAATGATGTTTTTGACAAATAAAATCTTATGTGATGTGTGACGGTAGGCTATGGTAGGGTGTTAATACTCGAAGCTACGCCGCTATTTGATATTGGATATTATGTTGATTAATGATTATGATGAATGATTATTATGGATGATTATGATTTGATGAAACCTACTGATTAAAATGATTATTGTCTCAACCAAAACAAGAAAAAACTAATAGGAACACTTCTTCTTGACATTTCTTCACCATAAAGGGCATAACCATATTAACTTAGAAATCTATAATTGAAGGTAATGAAGGAGCCAGAAAAATGATATAGTGGAGTCACATTTGAAACAAGCTACGGTCAAAAAAATGAAGGCAAATAAATTGACCATTTAGGGGGAAATTGAAGGCAAAAAATAGGCATTATCATACAAATACTCTGTACGAGAGGAAGAAAGATCTGGCTCCAGTGGAGTTGTCAAAATCTTGAAGTTTTGCGTGAAAGATCTGCCTTTGCTTGAAGACGTCCGACTAGAAGACGATGAAGAAGAGAGTTCTCAAAATCTTGGCGTTATGTGTGAGATTTGGATGTGGATTGATATTTATACCCAACCCTTCAAAATCCATCAAAATATACATTTTTTAACAATCTTTAAAAATCTATCAAATTTTGAATACCATTAGATTTGGAAAGATTTTTAAAATTTGAATTGAATACATCCAGACTTTAAGACTTTTTAAAATCTAAACTGAATACATCTTTCTTAAATTATGTAAATAAAAGCCCTAATTATTGAAAACCGAAATTCCCAATAGTCTGCATTTCTTTGGGCCTTAACCTTCATATTATGACCACCGTGAGCCGATATATTTGGTTTATTCCCTTGGCCCGAATTAGGGTTTCGTTTCGACTTCCTTTCTGCCCCAAATTAGGGTTTTAAGTAGAGCCTCGCTCGATCGTCGGCGCTCCAACACACACACAGAAGAACCAGATACAGCGGAGCTATGGGTATGAACACCACGGAATCTCCCTAGTTTTTGAATTCTCCATTTCAAGTTTGTCTTTTCTTAATCATTCATGATTCAATCTGACTAACCTTTCTTTGAATTCGGCGTGCAGCGAGGATCAAGGTACACGAGCTGAGACAGAAGTCGAAGGCGGAGCTTTTGGCTCAGCTGAAGGATCTGAAGGCGGAGCTCGCCTCCCTTCGAGTCTCCAAGGTCACCGGCGGCGCCCCCAATAAGCTCTCCAAGATGTAATAGTCCTTCTCCTTTCCTTAATTTCTTTCCTGAAGAACTTTTCCGGACAGTGATTTTCTCTGCAGTTTTATGCGTTTGTTCGTGAATTGATAAATTTGAAATGAAATATGACGGTGTGCAGTAAGGTAGTGAGGGTGTCAATTGCTCAAGTGTTGACAGTGATCTCCCAGACGCAGAAAGTGGCGCTTAGATCAGCCTACCAGAACAAGAAGTACTTGCCCCTTGATCTTCGTCCTAAGAAGACCAGAGCCATCCGCAGACGCGTTACTAAGCACCAGGTATTCAAAATAGATTTAAAGGTTGTAGTTTTATTCTACTGTGGTTACCTTGTATGTGCTTTGGGGTCTCTTATAGTAACATAATGGGTAACACCCTCTCCTATATCCTACTTTTTGTGTGATTTTACTCCGTCTTTTGTTGTTTTATTCTACGCAACTGCATTTCTAGCGCTTTCATTGTTATTAATCAATGAAGGGTCTTAATGAGTGCTTTTGATTCTGTGTTGCACTTTTTTGTGTTGGTTCGTTTGGTTATTATGAAGATTATGCTTTCTTCGTCTATTTGTTACCTATAATGCTGCTGTCAATCCCTATGTGTTTTCATCCCTCTTGGATTACATCCATTCAATTGCCACTGGAAGAGCTATTCAAAATGTGTTTTCTTCATCTATTTTTCATCTCTATTGTTACGTTTCTCTCTCTAATACTGTTGGAAACCAATGTTTCAAAATGGAATCAAACTAATGTTTATGATGGAGTCGGAGTGTCAGACCATTGGATTCAGAGTTCCATGTTTCAGATTTTATCCAATTGTCTAAGGCTCAAGTGTTATGAAGATGTTTTTACTTGGATTGCATTATTGTTGTCAATGGCATTGTTTGGAAACTACTCCCTCTGTTTTTAAATAAGTGTCAATTATATGACTTTTTACATTTGTTGTACTCCCTCTCTGCCTAAATGGCTGCCACTGTCACTATTTTACAGCTGCTCAATAACTTCTGTTTTTTGTGCATTTTCATTCATCATTTGATTAAATAAAATATTCTTGTAATCTTTTGTTTTGTAGAACTTTTGAAATATTTTTGAACGGTGTAATTCATACTTTTCATCTATACCAAATTATATCAAATAATTTTAAAAATGATGAGATTTTGCATGTTGTTTAGAGTGTGGTATCCATTGTGGACCGAGGGAGTATATGAAAAGTCATAATGGACATTTATTTTAGAAAGGAGGGAGCAGTTAGTTTGTGTCTGCTATATGGAGTCTTCCAAGAAACATGGATAAGCTTCTTTGTTTAGGCTCT